TGAACAAGACACACAAGCTGAAACGTCAAGACTGGGCCAAGAAACATCTCAAGACTGAGTTTTCTAAGGTTTTATGGACTGATGAAATGAGAGTGAGTCTTGATGGGCCAGATGGATGGGCCCGTGGCTGGATTGGTAAAGGGCAGAGAGCTCCAGTCCAACTCAGATGCCAGCAAGGTGGAGGTGGAGTACTGGTTTGGGCTGGTATCATCAAAGATGAGCTTGTGGGGCCTTTTCGGGTTGAGGATGGAGTCAAGCTCAACTCCCAGTCCTACTGCCAGTTTCTGGAAGACACCTTCTTCAAGCAGTGGTACAGGAAGAAGTCTGCATCCTTCAAGAAAAACATGATTTTCATGCAGGACAATGCTCCATCACACGCGTCCAAGTACTCCACAGCGTGGCTGGCAAGAAAGGGTATAAAAGAAGAAAAACTAATGACATGGCCTCCTTGTTCACTTGATCTGAACCCCATTGAGAACCTGTGGTCCATCATCAAATGTGAGATTTACAAGGAGGGAAAACAGTACACCTCTCTGAACAGTGTCTGGGAGGCTGTGGTTGCTGCTGCACGCAATGTTGATGGTGAACAGATCAAAACACTGACAGAATCCATGGATGGCAGGCTTTTGAGTGTCCTTGCAAAGAAAGGTGGCTATATTGGTCGCTGATTTGTTTTTGTTTTGTTTTTGAATGTCAGAAATGTATATTTGTGAATGTGGAGATGTTATATTGGTGTCACTGGTAAAATTAAATGATTGAAATGGGTATATATTTGTTTTTTGTTAAGTTGCCTAATAATTATGCACAGTAATAGTCACCTGCACACACAGATATCCCCCTAAAATAGCTAAAACTAAAAACAAACTAAAAACTACTTCCATAAACATTCAGCTTTGATATTAATGAGTTTTTTGCGTTCATTGAGAACATGGTTGTTGTTCAATAATAAAATTATTCCTCAAAAATACAACTTGCCTAATAATTCTGCACTCCCTATAGATACTGATGCAAAACCAGGTAGAAAGATAGATGTATTATAAATGTATAGTATTTATTTCTTCTGTTGTTTCTGAATAAAAAATAATGCAAGAAAAAGGAACAGCACTCGGAGATCAAATCCTCTAAACTGTTCTGCAATTTTAAAGAAACTGATCTGTATCAGCGGTGCAGGTTAATGGATTCTTTCTTTGACCGTGCTTTACCTCTCCAACATATTTCACAAAATGTGTCCTAGCAGCTTTGCATAAAAAATAGGTAAACAGAAAGACAAACAAGCAGCGCTGAACACCCACCTCTATCTCACCTTATGCCATGGTGAAGTAAACAAATTATAACCATGAAATTTTTGAGAGATAGAAATTAGAACTGTTTGCCCCACTCCCCATGCACATAAAAAAATATATATTATTATCATTATCATTAATTTTTTTATTAGTAATTTTTATTATCAAACGTAGATGTCAGCGTTACATCTACATTACACAAACCTGTGCATTACTTGTACACAGTGTATACGTTGCTGACATTTTGCTACATAATACTTTGGCATCATTGGAATGTGCTGTCATGCATACCTGTAAATAAATACTAATGGAATAGTGATGCCTGAATACTTTCTCTTCGACCCAGTATCACAGCAAAGCATGTTAACATGATATCGGGTTGTTGTCTTACACAATGAATAAGAGGTACACAACAACTGGGGGAGCTTTCTATAACAGCTTTCTAATAGTGTGGTAACTGTGCAATAATAAAGAAGTAACAATACGGAATAGCATCTTATTACCAATAAATTACCAAAGTAATATCCAAACAATAACCAAGTGATATTGTATCAACAGTGGTTACACTGAATACGGTTACAGTGAGATGTATGCGATTGGGTAACAAGGCACCAAAAACTAGGTAACGCAGTAGAAACAAGCAAATACCAATAAGGCAAACAAATTAGTAATAGTACCATAGTATTCTAGTATAACATCATATATAATAGCCTGCTAGCAATAAAATGCTAATATTTGGATGCTTGATTATTTTATGTTTATAATAATAAATTAACATTAGTTGATGCTTTATGATATAGGAATGCTATAAACATTTTATAACACTGGAATGCATCCAACCGTATGCCTTCTGCAGTCTTCTTTGTTTGACGGTAACAGAGTAAATACTGTGGCTTAATCATGTGGAAGCACATGTGGTAGTTTCTGTTCAATAACCAGGAACAAATAAAATGTTAATCTGCATATATATGAGTTTTCATTTGTATCACATTTGCTACATAAGCCATATTTTTGCAATTTAGTCATTAAAAATGTGTCATGTAATTTATATCATTTTTTTGAGGTTAAAAAAAGTCATTCTGATGATGCTGAAGTCTCATAAACTCACAAAAACACATGTATCAAATATGACACACTGGGCTTTAAAGGGTTAATATCCTATTAAAGCAAACTTCAAGTAATATGATAATTATTCTTAAAGCATGTGTGGAAGTTACCACATTATTACTGAGCTGTAATGAAAAGTCCTACTATTATTTGCATTACTTAACGTCCACAGCATGTAATCTTGAATTAACTTTTTTCAATTACTCTTTATCTGCTAAAAGATACTCTGCTGGCAGTAAACGGAGGATGAGAAATTGTGTGGAGGAGAGAAGAGAGAGAAGTAAAGAGGAAGCAGGTGTACTGGGGGAAGGGCAGAGTGAGGATAATAAACTGGGGCACAATGGGTAAGCTGGGCACCCAAGTGGAGCTGTGAGGAAAATCATCTGTCAGCTGACTGAATAGTGTGCAGAACAGGGCCATGAATGAATTAGCTCACATATGTTTGACTTGTCTCGACTGTTTTTTTCAGGGGGTTTTTGCCCCTCTGTGTAGATACTAATTGAATATGCACCGATTCACCTATGCTCATCAGGACTGTCACTGACATAGCCTCTCAATACTAACCCCAAAAGCATTTTTTTGTTACTTGAACCTAAACTCTGAAGAACCTTTTTAAAATAGTGGACCCCCCCCCCAACACACACACACACACACACACACACATACAGAAGCATGTGGCCAGAGGGGCCTGACGTGGGGAGATCGAAGGAAAAGAAAGGGGGTATTATTAAGCAGTTTCCTTGCCAGATGGTGCCCTGTTGTCCCCATGCATGAAGAAACAACAATAGACCTCTGAACACTTACACTTACACACGCACACATAAGGCAGCTGTGACCAGTACAATACATCTGTAATGGATAAATACTGGAGCTCAGATAATAAATATTACACAGATAGTGTATATCTAACCACTGAATGGAAATGCCTACAAACACCCATGCTCAAAAATACTCCTATGTGTAATGGACGGAGAAGCAGGATGGTTTACCGACATCCTTTTCTGGACAGGGTGCAAAAATAACACACTCACCCACTCACAATATGTCAGGAGACTGAACAGCTCAGTATAAGTACATGCAGAGAGGAAAATGATTTGTCTGCCAACAGACTGAACAGAATAAAGGAAATGAGCAAATTGGCATCAGTATTTTTACTTTTTTTTTTTTATAGCCTCCGTTCAAAATAAACCTTGAGAAAAGTTTATCATCTGCATTTAAAGCTATTTAAAATATTTGTACAAGCCCTTACCTGATTAAAGGCCTTGCTTGTATTCCTTACCTTGGTAATTTGGTAAGGGTGATCGTGGCTCAAGAGTTGGGAGTTCGCCTTGTAATCGGAAAGTTGCCGGTTCTTGGACAGTCTCGGTCGTTGTGTCCTTGGGCAAGACACTTCACCCGTTGCCTACTGGTGGTGGTCAGAGGGCCCGGTGGTGCCAGTGTCCGGCAGCCTCGCCTCTGTCAGTGCGCCCCAGGGTGGCTGTGGCTACAATGTAGCTTGCCATCACCTGTGTGTGAATGGGTGGATGACTGGATATGTAAAGCGCTTTGGGGTCCTTAGGGACTAGTAAAGCGCCATTTTGAATCTGTCTGTTCACTTGACTTAATCACTTCTCTTTCTTAGCAATTGTTTCAATGTCTCACTGTGGGATGGGCCTCCCTCATATTCCTCAAAAGGATTTATCTCATTAAGTCAGTCTTGATTGGCTGGTAATGGCAGTGACTGTGTCAGGCAGAACCACCCACCCTTAAGTAGCTTGCGCCACTATGCAGTCAATATTCAACACACCTGAAAGATAGGCTAGCTAGGCCAGGGGTGGGCAATCTCAGTCCACGAGGTTTTTAACCCTGCAGGTTTTAGATGTGTCCTTGAACCAACACAGCTGATTTAAATGGCTAAATTATTTGTTTTGGGGTTTTTTTGTAAAAAAAAAGAAAAAAAAGTTAAATGGCTAAATTAGCTCCTCAACATGTCCTGAAGTTCTCCAGAGGCCTGGTAACGAACTAATCATGTGATTCAGGTGTGTTGACCCAAGGTGAGATCTAAAACCTGCAGGGACACCGGCCCTCGTGGACTGAGATTGCCCACCCCTGAGATAGGGCCTGATTAAGGGGTTGTCGTTCCAAGACATCTGTGCGTACACTTTACTTTTGTCTGGTTCTACACACTGGAAAGTGTAGCCCAAACAGTACCACTGTAGGTCTTCACTTCTATAAGGGGGCTACTTGCTGATTGCTGGTGCTTGCTTGAGATGAGCTTGTCTGGCAGTACAAAAGGTCTCCATATCCGAGAGTGAGACATCAAAATCAATGTTTGGAATGAAAACTTTGGGTTATTTATGTAACCTCTGTTCTCACAGTAGCGCAAGTGAGATGTTTCACCAAATAATCCTTCTTGCTGGCTGAAGTGAGAAGAGGTGCTGCATCCCATAGCACAATGTCTCACTCATGCAACTCTGAGAACCAGGGTTACACAAGTAACCTAAAGTTAGTTTCTCTATAAAAGCTTTGCTGTTTTCTCTTTATCCTGAAGTCACTCCCTCTTCATTATCTATCGTTCTAATTTTCTTCTCCTTACCACTAATTATCAAAACTTTTTTTCTTTGACTCTAGTGGTTTTAAGTCGACAGCAGCGAAAGGTGCAGCTCATGCGGATTCGACAGAGAGAAGAGAGGCTGAAAAAGGAGAAGGAAAACAAAAAGAAGAAAAAGAGACAGAGCCAGAAAGCAGGGCACAAGCAGAAGACTCATTCCCATCACAACCACCAGCAGTACCACCACCCAGCAGCATCTCACCCTCATCACCAAACTCAGAGCTCTCAGCCTCCTAAAGTCCCTCCTCCTCCTCCTCAGACTGAGCCTGGCTACCACCGCAAAGCCAACTCCAAAAGGCGCTTTGATGGAGATGTGCTGTCTCCGGTAAGCTATAATACTGTATCTATTCTTAACAAGGTAATTCGATGAAAATCTGAACATCCTCAGTCCAGGTCATTAAAATGTTTGTGTTCTTCGGATTCTCTGAAATTAGATTTTGGATAAAATTCTACATTCAAGTCACAGTTTTAATTTGAGTAGAATGACATCAGTGTTCCACTCCGCACAGTTAAGTGACAAGTTCAGGACAAATAAGTGTAGGAAAAACAGAAACTGTTTTATTTATGTACAAATGCACTGCACAGCAAAATCTTTATTCTCTCTGTGCTAAACTCCTGCCAGAGGGCAAGTCATACAGTTTGACAGCCATTTTTGCTGATATCTCCAGGAATTTATTTAGCTGTACTTCTGTTAAGCGTGCACACAGTTCCTTCGGTGATCATGCCAAAGTAACGAAGAAAGCCTTGCAAATTAAAATATATATATAAATATATATATATACTTAACTAATTTTTTTGCTACAATAATAATAAACTGGGACAATGAAGAGTAGACACACAACTACACCAGTCATGCTCAGCTAAACATGTGCCACTCAACACGACTGGCTCATATGTTCTTCCCAACTGCCAGCTTTAGCATTTCAGAACTCTCCCACACATTTCTGTTTAAGATTCACTAAGTGTCTTCTCCCTATAATGTCTGGCTAAATTAAGTGTCTGCAGGCTTCAGGTTCATATTTAATGTTAAGATAAGGGGTAATGATCCTCTTCAATGGGACTTCAGAAGAAAACTGAACAGGGATAAAAGTGTCACATGTCAGACTTTTCATTGAAGAATAATTGTACATGAGTGCAAGCTTTTGTGTCTTGCTGTATTTACATATGCTATATACCCACCGCAGCCCTTTATTTCCTGTCTGTCCACAGAGTTACATCAGGAGTTTCAGGGACAGACAGACAGACAGACGGGCGTACTCCCACAGTAGAATGATGAGCCGGTCTCGGATGGCTGAACTTGACTATGACTGCGGTTCTCAGGTGCCCCTTACAGCACCCAGTGGACCCCCAGTTCGCATCTGAGGCAGTTAATTGCACAGATCCACACACACACATGTGCACCATCACAGGCTACTTCAAGACTCACTGATAAGGATAAGAAACCTAACCTAACCTAACCGTGCCAACCCAATCAACTGCCTATTAAGCCAACAGGAGCTCAAAGTGCTCCAGAGGTGGTGTGACCCACACTGCTATTCTCCTGTCAGACCCACTGAAGTATTTATTTGGTCTGTTTTTTTCCTTTTAATGTCTAAAAACAGTGATTTTCTTTGTCGGAAGTGTGAGTCATCATATGTTATATTTGGCTTCTCTGTAATTGTACTTACATGGAAAACACTGGAAACAAGTGAAACGCTCTTATGCATAGTTAATTAAACTGTCTCTGTTGAACATTTGATACGAAGATTTATACTGGTTGGTTCAAGCCATACAATGTAATTTCTAGTGGGGAAGAAAAATCACTCCACAGGAGCCCCACATGATGTTAGAAAAAAATTGCATTAAAAAAATTGCCTTTCATCAAGTTAAAGTAAAAGAACACTTTACTCCAAAGGTAATTAAAGGATTAAACATTTTGACTTAAGGAAGCATCTGCTGTGAAAAATGACTGAAAAGCAACATAAAAAAATCACAGCAAACACTGAAACTCAAAGGGAGCTCTTCTCATTTAAAAGGTCATTCATGAAGTCTTTTTTTTTTATCTTCACTGACAGCTTGTAAATTCAAACGTTGCAGCACAAGGCCTGTACTGCTTCAACATGCAGAAAGAGACAAGTTTAGGTGTGAATTGGATTAAACGGTTTACACCAAAGACAATGTTTGTGTTATTTCTGTTGTCAATTAAGTGTCATTCCCTGCGCTGTTGTGATTTTCAAGGAGACTGCTTTTACATCTCACCACTTTCCTTGTATCCTCTATTCTATTGTCAGCCATTCCAACTACAGACCTGAACAGGATACTCATCTGTCTGCTCTTCTTTCCTCTCTCCATTAAACATTTCTGTAAGCAATGTGATTTTATTTATTAACAGTGCTCTTGTGTCCCTTTTTGCTCTTTTCCACAAAGCTTCTGTTAAAGACAAATAGCTGCTGTCCGATATTAATCATTCTGGAATTTGATTGATGTAATGAAGTCTGAGAATAATAGGCAACAGTAAAAATGTTAAAAATAGTGTATTTTTGTGTGTGTGAGTGGACACATGAGCCCTGTGGCAATTGATGGAACATACCAAATACTGGCCAAGGAGAGGGGGGGGGGTTCGTTGGAATGTATGCGCAGTATGTTGTGCATACATTAAATTCTCTTTTCTTTACCAGTTGGTGAAAAATGGTATGAAAATATTTGAGTGAAATGTTAAGTGATTAAAAAAAAAGAAGCAGCATCTTTTTTTTTTAAGATAAGAGAATGTGAAGATAAATGCGCCTGCAAGTGGCGCCCTCTGATGTTTACTTCTGGACCTTTTTTTCTGGCCTTTCTATGTATGTGTGTGCATACGGTTCAAATGTACATGCATTTGTGTGTTACTCACTTTGAAATTGAAATAAGTTCCTTACATTAATATTGTTATACTAAACACTGAGACAGGAGAAGGACTCTGAATGCGAGATGTTAAAGTACAGAAGGAGAAAGTTGTTTTGTTTTGGGGGTTTTTTGGGCTTTTTTTTAATTAAAGCTCTCTGGAAACAAAACATTGTAGTTCATGAACACTATTTCTAGCAATGTTGCAATTCCTACTTAGGTTGAATATTACTATAAATGGAAGAGTCGGTAGTAGGAAAGGAACATTTTTTAATTAAATTCTGCCTCAATATTGTTTTTTTAAACTATTGTTTTATTATAGCTTCTTTTTTCTGAGGTTTAGGAAAACAAAACAATCTGACTGCACATAAATTATAAAATAAAACTTGAGGTATGTAAGTTAGTGCCTGGATTCAGCAAAATTTACAGTACTTTTAGGCCCGAGGACCAGGGATTTTTATCAAAAGCCCATTACTGCATGTTGATCATTGTGTATATGTTTCGATTGTGCTGTTGTCATGTCACAGCTCTGACATTTACACTTTAGTTTTCTGGTCCTGGGCTGATGTAGGTAAAAATAAAAACTCTCTTCCTATCTCCAGTTCTCTTCTGTCTGTAAAGGGCTTTGAAAGGCATTTGAAGCATTTTCCTCTTTTTCACATGCATTATGCCTGTTACATCAGCTTCTGACCTGCTGTTTACTGTTATTAAATGTTGTTTCACGGTTGTGGCAGTACAAGTGTTATTTTTGGTTTTCTGCCTATACTTCACTCCTGCTTTGATCTGCTTTTGTGTTTTTATTGTAGTGTAATTCTAAACTAAACATTGCCCCTCCTCTTGCTTGTAATTTGGGGACGGAAATGAATAATTCTTTCACTGAACTTTTCTTTTATGTTGTTGTTTTTCTTATTTCTAATATTTTTTTTCATTACCTATTATATAACATTTCTGTTGAGAAAACCTTTGACTGTAGATATTGACTTGTAAATAATTTTTAAGTGTACAAATGTTTGGCTCCATTTTCATGTTTGCACCACAGTCATGTATGTAATTTATGCAGGCTATTACTTTCTGGAGTAGACCTGTTATGTTGTGATTCTGCTGTATGTCCAGTTTGCTTTGATTTGGCTGAGCGGTGGATACACTTCTCATTCAGGTGTTTCAGTGTTTCATGTTCAAATTTAGCAAAGAAAATGGACTCTGATTCGTCCTTTTCGTATCATCCAATTTAAATATGTAAAAATCGCCCGATTATTATTATTATGATTATTATTATGATTATTATTATTATTGTTATTATGTTATTAAGCATGGATTTCTATGGACCTAACATATGATAAACATTGTGATTCTATAATTCAGTGGTCTTGTTATCTTTACATTGTCATTTGTGTGTGCACAACTGTTGGATCACAAATATCAAATACTTTTTTGTTCAATCTCTCTCTCTCTGACACTCCCACAAATACATGC